TCAAACACAGAGAAACACGGAGAGTTTCACAGGATATTTGAATCTCACAGTTTTATTTTGACTCCAGGAGCTTGTTGACACAACAAGAAAGCCAAAATCAGAAGTAAGGTTTTAGTGACTGGCTTTCCCAACGTGCACATCCACAGACCCCTCTGGCTGTTATACTGATGACTATTGGAACATGTTCGGTTTGTGAGATCTAATTTGGCTACAAACAGAATGAAACACAATGCAGACATCTCTAGTAAATCCCAAATGTTACTGCAGACTGCTCCCTCCCTTGCCATATAGAAGAGAAACAAAACAAACAGGCTAAGCTAGATTATGATTATTTTTTAATTTGCAATTGTTTTGAACACTTATTAAGCCAGAATTATTACAAAGGAGCATCAAGAAATGCAGTTCTTCATCTGTCACAAGCTGTGACTGATTCCAGATCATTGGAGAGAATTTTGTAATTAGAATAGACTACAAATAGAGGATTACAAAAGTGTCTTTTTTTCTCACAAAATCACTTTTGCTAAACACTCATATGCACTTCTGATCTTCCTAGAGATACTCTAGTTTTGAAGGAAAAATGGAAAACGATGTTTTTGTTTTAAAACATGCTTTTAAATGTGAGTTACTGCTTTAGAAGATTATTTGTGCTTTTAAATCTGATTGTTTGTGATTGGATGTTTCCATGTCTCCCCATAATCGTGGAACATTTTTTTGAAAAATCAAGGCCTTTCCCTGAAATGTGCTGTGAAAGAAAGTGACATTTACTCAATGAAATGCATTGAAAAACAATTGGCATTTTCAAACCAGCTTCAGAAAGAAGCTGATTTCCAAACTAGCAAAGCTCTGCACTGTACCGAGAAGTCCCAGCTTTAGACTTACTTAGAAACGATTTGTGTAAGAAACAGGGAGGAACAACAAGGCACTACCTACTTTTATATCTAGATATACATCTTTAAAATAGACTCTCTGATCTTTAGTCATAGCAAATTTCAATTAACTTAATCATTTGATTTCACTGGGCTTTTGTTCAGCCCCTGGGATCGCGTAATGTAAGCCCTGAAGACACTTTTATTCAGCAAGCTGAGGTCACGATGAATAATACTTACTCAGACAAGCAAGGCATTTAATTAAAATTTTTAGGGCCTGGTTCAGTAGCCCTTACTCATACTGAGTAATATTTACTGCACTAATAGTAGTGTTGTTGCAGCGCATGTTAATCACTGAAAGCACTAATGAACTGGGCCCTGAAGAAATGACAGTTCTTGTGTTTAGCCAAATATGGAGACTTTTGCCTCAAATATTCACATATGTCCTGACATACAGAAACTGCTCTTGATTAATAAATACCTACTGAACTGCAATATACTTACATAATATACAATTGCAACTGCACTGCATGACATCTTTATCTTTTTATTATGGGAACGCGCATGAAAACGAATTACACCAAAACTGTATCCATGCTAAAACTGCATATTCACTGCCTCTAATGTATCTATAAAACAGAACTAAGCAAATATGTGAGAAAGAGAAATCTATTTCTGGTGTCAAAATACAGAGGAAATAAAAGTATTCCAGTCTTAACAGCAGCATTTGAGCCATTGAGTACCTCCTAGTGCCAAGATCTCTCTATAGGGAGTTCCTGGTTCTTGGAATGAAAACATTATAATAATCCAATTTAGTTGAATTACATAAAAAGGAAATTGATAAATTACCTCTGTTTCTAAGTATTCCTTACCTTCCAGCAAGCACATACATAAATAAAGTCAAGCTCACGTACCAGGGAATGCAATCAGACAAATAGTAAAGGAAAACCAGCACAACTTGTTCGTATTATTTGTTTCTCACCACCTTTTTTTCTTCTTTTTTTTTTTTTTTGACCTGAATAAGTTCTCAGATCTGTACATATGAATACATATGTACACATATGTCCACCCTGAGTATATGAAGGACTATATATGGATGACTGTCCTGCTCTGATACTGCCCATGCTGACAACAGGCTTCAAAAATAAATCCAAATGAATAAAAAGGGCTTAGAATCATCCTCAGTAAAACGATAATAAAACTCCACTGCCACTGCAAGAGAAAACAGACAGACATTTCAGTGTCTGGAGTTGGAAGCTGAAACTAGCTGGCATGGAGTTGTATCATTTTGCATCACTCTGGGCTTGAATCTTCCAGGTTTAATTCAAACCAAACATTTGCAACTCTGCAAATGGATGCAGAGGAAAGCGGTGATAGAAAGGACACCATCTTTTGTTACCCCAAAGCAGTGGTTACCGAGAGGCACAGCAGCAGCCACAGGTTGGGAAGCAGGGCTACTGATTGATGCTAGAGCACCATAGCAGTGCTCAGAGAAAGATGACTTTCTGTGTAATGCATTTCCACAACAACCACTGCAGCCCATGGCTACTGATACTCACTGCTGGGTTAACTCTGGCCCGTCAGTGATCACCAGATTCCAGAATGGCTGCAGGAGCCAAACTATGCAACTGTCCCCAGGAGAAACTGCTGCCACCTCACTGCCAGCTGAAACTGGGAGACATCAGTCTACACCTGGTGCAGGCAGTACTCTGTGCCCTCTGTTGTGCCAGGCAGTCCTTGCTTACATGGGGCAGAAACACCTGTCCTCTGAGAAGGGGATGTGCACAACCCTTCCGCAGTCTATGGAAACAGCTTTCTTTAACTGAGAAGTGTGTAGAGAAAGCTCTGTACACTTTGTATCCAAGATCAGTAGTCCCTGAATGCATCCCACAATGGCAGCACCTATTTATGCGGTTTGTATTCAAGCTGATGTTGGCAGATGTTCAAAGACACAGTACCAATTTTAGAGTTCTTAGTAGGTGTATAAGAACAGCAAATAAAAAGCCTTTAATAACTGAAGCTGCCTGCTCCTGACAGCAGCATCACTCCCTTGCTTATGCTGATGCAATTCAGAAAGAAAACATCGGCACATCACTGGTGAAATCAGGATAAGCAGGAAGAGATTATAACCTTCAGTACTATGTACCACAGCAAAACTTCAGCAGGAGTTGTTAACTCTGCATAAATTAACACAAAATGCTTTCCTGGCACAGTCACTCTTCCAATAGTTATTGCATACGTAGAGCATTTATCTTTTGGGAAGGTGTTTAGCAGCACCTTACATTCTCTCGGTAGCCTTGCCTTTTGTTATGAAAAGGCTACTCTCTCACGCAGGGCATTGCAGGCAAATAATTGCACTCCAGCAAGATGCATTTCTGTGCATCTCATCTCGTGATGTAGAAATAACAGCCAGCTTCTCACATCACGGGAAGCAAAGCAGAGCCCTGCAAACAGAACACACAGTGCAACGTGCCCTTCACTTCAACAGGTCAAATGCACACTTCTCGTGGCAACCAGACCCTCTCCTTCCCAAACAACCCCACGGCTACATTTACTCTGGGGACGTGCCCATTACAATCAACAGGAGAAACGGTGGGTGTCGAGGTAGCACAGTGACATGGAAGATTTTAAAATCTTGATTCATCTATTTAGGCAGTTTATCAATCTGTTTCTGTCTGCATTTTCTTCCAGATATCGCAAATATGGAGCATGCAATTTTGTTATTTTGTTCTCAATTAAAAAATATAGGAAAAAAATGTCCTTGATCAAGAGAATCCTAAAAATTCAGTCCTTCCAGATTTTTTATCCAGTCATTTCCACCGGACCGTGGGGAAGGAAGCATTACAAATATACCAGATTAGCCTCAGAGTGAGTTTGTATGTTTCCAACAAATTAAAGACACTGACGTTGACAAAGGAATGAGAATTCCTATTGCAAGTCTTTCTCACTTAGCTTATATACTGATTGCAGAAACTTCAGTTGGACTAATTGTGTCTAAGGCAAGTGAAACTTCTTGTGAGGCTGAAGAGTTCCAAGTATGCACCACGCGACACTTCACACTGCCTGCTTGGATAGGGAAGAAGAAATCTTGCAAACCTTTCTTTCTTACACACTTGCACACCGGCAGCTGTAATTTAGCTGTGAACCCCCAGTTTCTCTTCACTCTCCACCCCACAGACTTTCTCTGAGCAACCTTACGGAATAGGAGCTGAAAAAGTAGCACCATGTCACAATCCCTTCAGCAAATACACCGGGTCTGAGCTGCTGTTGTGGAATGCACTTGGTGGAGGTAATGAGATTCACCACTGCTTGTAGAATGTCTCAAAGACGTTAAAATGATCTTCCCAGGACCAAAACCACCCAACCTCTAACTGGTAAGAAAGCCATAGCGCTGGAGCCGAGCCAAGCAAATACCCTTGGAGGACCTCCAGAACAGACATGTTCTCCATCCCATCTTACCTTGATTAGCTATATGGACCTTAATGTACTGCAAAGATAGGACAAACACCATTCAGAAAGGACTTACAGCTCCCCTTTTCACCACCAACCCCACTCACAGCCTCTCACGGGGAAAGATGAGCTTTGAGGGCAGGTTGGAGACAGGTTGCCTGAACTCTCACATCCATCCTGGTGCAAACAAACTCACAAAAGTCTTAGGAGGCTCTTGAAGGAAACCTCTGTATTAAAAGCCAAATAACGTGGAGATACAGTAATAAACACACACCACCTCAGCAGGGAAATACAGTGGAAAAGGTTCGTTCAACTTCAGCAATTACAACAGACGCACTGCTTCAGTTCTAGACCCGCCAGCAGAGACATCCCTTGCTGTAAGTAACGAGAAGACCGGCTCAGACTGTTCTCATACACACAAAGAAAAGCTGCCGACTACAACAAATGCGGTTGAACGGGAGGGTCTTTTATTTTCCGCGTAGATTTTGGAGGGGAACGCTTTTTTTTTTTTTTTTTTTTTTTTCTTTTTTACTAAAAAGTTGATTTAAAACGGTTATTAAAGGTACAAAACGAGCACACAGGATGCGGTCGTGGCGGCGGCGGGGCCGAGGGGCGCGGGGCAGCGGATCCCCTCAGCGGCCGCTCGCGCGGCGCACCTTCACACGCTTCACACGAGAACAAACGCGGCGGGAGGGGCAGCGCGCACAGCCCGGCCCGCCCGCGTCCCTCACACCACACGACGAACGACGGGGGTCCCCGGGATGGCTACTTGTTGGCGGCGGCGGCGGTGCCGGCGCTGCGGCGCTGCTCCATGCCGTTGGGCAGGAAGCCGGCGATGATGGGCACCGGCCAGATGAGGGCGGCCACGCTCCACACGATGATGACCAGAGTCATGAAACACGCCACCAGCGTGGACTCGATGGGCTTACGGTTCATCCGCCAGCCCGGCTCGCCCTTCAGCTCCTCCAGGCTGAAATCCAAGCAGCAGAAATTGAGCGGCTCCCCCTGCAGCCAGTACTGGCCGGGCTCGGCCGCCGGCGGGTAGGACAGCGAGGAGGCGGCGGCGGGCTGGGGCTGAGGCTGGGGCTGAGGCTGGGGTTGGGGCGCCGAGCCCCGCAGCCGCCCGACGCGGCGGCCCCGCACCCAGCTGCAGCCCACGCACAGCCGCAAGTCCTGCTGGGCGCCGCCGGCCGCCAGCCCCAGGTGGTCGATGACCAGCGGCGGCCCCACGCGGTGGAAGGCGGCGGAGAAGAAGGCCCGCCCGTGGCTGTTGGTGGAGAAGAGCAGCAGGTCGCACTGGATGCCCAGCGGGCGGCTCCAGCGCACCAGCAGCGAGCTCAGCATCTGCCGCTGCACGCTGATATTGCAGTGCGGGTCCTCGGCGAGCTGAGGCTGCTGGAGCCGCGGCTGCTGCTGCTGCTGCCCCGAGGAGGTGGGGGCGGAAGGGGACGGCTCTCGGCTGGGGGTCGCCGGCGTGCCCGGGCTGGCGGTGCCGCCGTCCTCCTTGCTCGCTGCCCCGTCGAGGTCCATCTCGAGGCCGGCCGGGGAGCGGGAGGAGGAGTTGGCAGGCGGCGAGAAGAGCTCCTGCTCCTCCTGCCCGCCGGCGGCCGCCGAGGGGCTCCAGCCCTGGCAGGGCGGCAGGCAGGCGGCCAGCAGCGCCGGCAGGAGCAGCGGCAGCATGGCATTGACTTAGCGCCGGAGAGGAAGGCGAGGAGGAGGAGGAACGGGAGGTCGCATGGCGCTGCCGGCTGCCACCTGCGAGAAGAGGCACGCCGCTCTCGCCGAGAGAGCGAGAGAAAGGGAAGGAGGGTGGGGGCGGGCGAGGGGGTGGGAGCGGGGCTGGGGCTGCCGCGGCGGCGAGCCGAGCGAGCCGGGAGCCTCGGTGACGGCAGCGGCTCCCCCTCCCCGCCTCCTCCGCCCCCGGCCCGGCCCGGCGGCTCCCGGCGGGCGGGAGGAGCCTCGCGGGCGGCGCCCACGGGCCGGGGCGGCCCTCGGCCCTCCTCGTCCGCTGCGGGCGGCCGAGGCTCCCGGCGCCCCGCCGGCCCCGGGCACGGAGCGGAGCCGCGGCGGGCGGGCGGGCAGCCCGCCGTGCCCGAGCCCGCGGGTCCCTTCGTTCCTCCTCTGCCGGCCCCGAGGGCAGCTTCGCGGGAGCTGCCCTTCCTGGCGTCTTCTTCCCTGCTCCGGAGTCAGGGGAGGGGGAAAGAGGCCGCTACGCGAACGATGGGGTGGGAGCAGCAGGTGGGAAGGAATCGCATCTAGGAATCGAATTTACACGCTTTCTTTTTCGCTTCAGAGGAAACGCGGTGTTAAGCCGTGGGATGCAGTGCGGTGTTCGGGCACCTCCCGCGTTGCTGCGGCGATCCGGGCTCGGAACCGGGAGCCGCTCCGCAGCCGGCGGCCGTGGCACTCCCGTCCGCCGCGTGCTGCCCTGCCGAGCCCCGCCGCACGGATTGAAGCGTGGAAGCGCGTCCCAAGGAGCGCAGAGGCACCGAGTGGCTAAGCTAGCTGTGGGACTTCTGTGCATTTTTCAGAAGGCTGCTTTGTAATCGGGAGGTTGCAGTCAGTCTCGGTACCCCGGCTCGTTTTGTCACTCTGTGCTGCTGTAGCGTTACTCTTTGACACAGAGCCTCGGGAAGGGGCACAGCGGCTCTGTCACAAACGATGAACGTTCACAGCCTTTGCCTCGGGCTGTGAGGTGGGGATAGAGTTACGTTTTCCTGGCAAGTGTCCAGGACTACGATTCTTTTCTCTGCCTTTGTAGCCCCCCCCCCCCCCCC